TTCCTTCCTTCCTTCCTTCCTTCCTTCCTTCCTTCCTTCCTTCCTTCCTTCCTTCCTTCCTTCCTTCTTCTCTTCTCTTCTCTTCTCTTCTCTTTCTTTTTTCAATTGGAATGAACCCAGGGGCAGTGGGATACCACTGAGCTGCTGACCTTGCACTTGTGATTCTCCTGCCTCAGCCTTCTAAGTAGCTGGGATTATACGCCTAGGCCACCATGCCCAGTTCTATGTTAACTTTTTAAATGACATTATTGTTCATGGTGAGGAGGAAAATGATCACAAATTCAGTGAAATTGAAAAGGTAGTAAAAATTAATTTGACCTTCCAGATGGCTAATATTTTCTAACAAAGGGAATGTAGTTGTGTGCCCCAAAGGTGAATGTGCCCAGGAATCATCTGAGAGTCCTGTTAAAAAGCAGACTCTGAATCTGTAGGTCTGGAGTGAGACCTGAGAATCTATGTTTCTAACAGTCCCCAGAAGAGGTAGGAGCTGCTAGTCTGTGCACTTCAAGCAGCAAGACTGGAGAAAGGAACATTCATGCTGTCTTCCCTGAAGGGTGTATCATAGGTGATAATGCTATTTAAGGGAAATAGCAATATTATTAGAGTAACATTTTATATGGTTTTTGTCCTTTGTTCTCACCCATTGCTATATATGTCTTTGCCTTTAGCACGAAAGCAAGAGATTATCAAGGTCACTGAACAACTGATTGAAGCCATCAATAATGGGGACTTCGAAGCTTACACGTGAGTAGATGCACATTTATTTTGCTTTCATACATATGGAAAATGTGCTTTCAGTGTGATTGCTTTCTTTAACATATCTGCACTCATATATATTTCATCCCAGATTTAATATGGCATCAACAATTTTATTTCTTATAAATGATGAAGGGCCCTCAAGAGAAAAATAAATGTATTTAGGATTTCAGAGAGAGATGACAAAACTTCCAAGGACTGGAGATTTCTTTGCAAATGCACAGATGTGTAATCATAAATGTATGAGTGAAGGGCATGCAGGCAGAGCAGTCCATCTGGGCACAGACACAAAAAACAGGAAAGCACAGAAAAGGTGCATTTGGGGTTAAGAAATCATTTTTCTTGCAGTTCTGCAAGGAGGCGGAGACAAAGAGATTAAATGGCTACAACAGGCAGCCTTCTCCCTCTTCACAGTGCAGCTCAGCTTTCTCGACCTGCATTTCTTCCATGTGTTTATCTCTTAAAAGAAATTTTACTTGAAGAAAAGATTCTAATGCTTTATTTAAAGTTTCTAAATAAGTGGTTTGTGGGTTATATGAAGGAAATCAGCTTAAGTACAAATAATGCATTCCATTTAAATGGGGCATGAAGGTTTATTGCACAATGTATGTGAGTTCATAAGTTAGCTATTTGGAATAAAAATCTGTCCAAGCCTCCTTCTTACTCAATACAGCAAAGTGAGTTTTCACTTGAGTCAAAGAGTTAAATGCAAAAAATGTGATTGACTCTGATCTCTGGTTATAAAAATCTTTGCAAGCTTTTAATGGGGAAATAATCATAAATGAGAAGATAAACTTTTTAGTTTATTTAGTTAATTTATATACGTTAAAGAATCAAAAAGAATTCTGAGACAAACAATAAAATAAGAAAAATATAACGTTTTAAAAAATAATGTTTTATATTGTGTCAATAAAATTGAAAAGCAGAAAAAATAATAGATAAAGAACAAGAACAGACTATCGACACAAGAGGAAATACAAATGAAAAGTAAACTAACAAAAGCATGTTCATGTCCACTAAATAAGAATGTGCAAACCTAATTGCAAAAGCATTTTCTGATTATCAGATCAGTAGGTATGCAGTCTCTCCTTACACCAGATAAGCACAAATACTGCAGGTTGACAGTGACTTTCCTACACCATAGAATGGAACATAAATGGTTGCAAACATTCAGGCTGGTTGAATTAGCGGTGGAGGGCATTAGTTGTTATATACTAGAAAGTTTTCATAAAGGTTCATTTTAATCCTATAGTCCTACTTATAAGAATTTAACATGACATGGATTTAGGTTCTGGGAATTGAACCCAGGGCATTTTACTACTGAGCTATATTTCCAGCCTTTTTAATTTTTTATTTTGAGACAAGTTCTCACTAAATCTCTTAAGGTTTTCTTAAATTGCTGAGGCTGGCCTTGAACTTGTAATCCCCCTGCCTCAGCCTCCTGAGTTGTTGGAATTACAGGCATGTGCTTCCGCACCCAGCTTTTTTACATGAATTTTGAATCTAAAACATGGTATAAGATTTATAAACACAGGTATACATTGAAGCATATTCATAATATTGAAAATTTGAGACAACATAAAAGTATAACATTATGGTAACCATTACATAATCTTGAGTGCCATTAGTACAATGGATGTTTATGTTTATGTAGAGTTTCTAGTGACCTGGCAAAATACTTGCGGTGTTTTTGCTGAAAAGAAAAGTAGGATATAAAGATGTATGTACATAATTATTCAAACATAAGAAAAAGCATTGAAAGTAGAATGAAATGTGTCAAATTACTCTTGTAAAAGAAAAATAAAGGGGCCGGAGTTGTGGCTCAGTGGTGAAGTGCTCGCCTAGCATGTGCAAGGCTTGGGTTCATCCTCAACACCACATAAAAATAAATAAATAAAATAAAGGTATTTTGTTCAACTACAACTAAAAAATAAATATTTTTAAAAAAAGAAAAAGAAAGAGGTTGTCTCTGAGAAATGAAATTATGGGTAGATCTTTTTTCTGCTTCCTTTTTATTCTTTCCAAATTTCCAAAGGCAAGTATTGCCTTTTTTTCATTAGTGACAAATAGCTGTGTTGTCTTTCCTTACTGTAACAAAATACCTGAGATAGTCCACTTAAAAAGAGGAAAACTTCATTTTGGCTCATGCTTTCAGAGGTATCAGTCCATGATCCATTGGTCATGGAGCACAAGCCCCTATTGTTTGGGGCTCATAGCAGTACGGTATATCATGGCAAGAGCACATTTATCTTGTGGTGGCTGGGAAGCAAAAGTGAGGAAGAAGCAGTGCTGGAGTCTTAATATATTCTTCAAGACCACACCTCTAGTAGCCTAACTTCCTTCCACTAGGCCCCACCTCCTAAAGGTTCTACCACATCCCGGAAGTACCCTGAGATTGGAACTAAGCCTCAACACATGGGCCTAGGGGAGACATTATATATTATAGCACTAGGCAAATATAAAATATGGAAGAGAGCAAATGGAAGAACTAAGTTAAATCAGGTGCTGATTCTTATAAATTAAATGTTTATGTATATACAAACACATGTGTATACATTTATATATATATATATAAATATATATAAAAATTATATATATATATATATATATATATAAAAAATATATATATATATATATATATATATAAATCTCCAATTCTTTAACAAGACCAAATAAAATATATATACTTGGAATAAAAGAAACAGTTTTTTTTTTTAAAAATGGAGTTTAGAAGAATACTTTTTGTCATCAGACACAGTTATTAAACAATTGTTTTTAACTCTCTACCATAGAACCTTTTCTTCTATTTTTTTTGCTATTGTAACCTTGTTAGACTCATCTGATTCTCCAAATAATAATCATATTATTTTTAAAAATAACAACAATGCAAAAAAAAAAAAAAAAACACTTTAGTAATAGCATTCCCCTGAGGAATGGTTTAAAAAAAAATGTGCTTTGTCATTGTTTTTTATTCAGACACAGAGGACAATTGTAGCCAGGCAAAAGTAGAGTATTATCTGTATTCTCAGACCCTTTAAAGTGGGGTATTAAAAGTAACACAGTGCCTAGGGATCACATTGGTTCACTAATTCCTTTGCTCATAGAGGCTTTGGGTCCCATTTTGTACTTTTAGGCCTAGAGATAGTCTAACAGCACTTCCATTTGGTAGATTTTGGGTGTATTGATAAAGCTCTGTCAACTGGTCCATAGAACACCTGCTCATAACACATACACACACATCAAATGGCAGCTTTGTGAATCTTTTCTAAATGCAGAAGAGATAGATGATTGATTGATTGTTGGATAGATGAGTGAAGAGAGAAAAAATAGATTAACAGATTTACAACTATATTACAACTATAGTTTTCCCCAAATTAATTAGTTTTCTTCTGAAGGTTGTGTAAAAATATTCATCAAAATATAGTGATTCCCAGATGATCTTAGAAATGATGTCAAGTAGTAAGAATTTTGGTTCACTGATATTGACAACCCAAACTCCTATTTATAGAGGGGAATAATAGCTTCTGGCAGAATAGATTCCTGTTACCATAGGAACACTATTCTTTTTTTTTTTTCTCCTCACATTTTTTATCGGTGCATAATAGCTGTTCATACTAATGGGACTTACATATTTCTACATGCACAGAATACACAATAAAACAACATAATTTGGCCAATTTCACTTCCCAGAATTTCCCCCAGGAACACTGTTGTTAATAGAAAGAGATTTTAAATATATGACGGGAGCTTAAAAGACACTTGCCCCACAGGCAACCTCAGACAGAATTTATAAACTCAGCATCGCCCCTGACCTTTTTGCGACTTTCCTTACCGCACAGGGTAATTGCTGTGATCTCCTACCTTGCCGCACATTCTATGAAGAGTACTGCACTTTGAAGAACCATAGTTTGACTTATAAAAATTGTTTTTCTATTGAATAATTAAGAAATTTAGGTAGGGATGTAGCTCAGGGATAGAGTACCAAAAAAAATAAAAAACTTAAAGAAATTTTGCTGGCCACAGTAGCACACACTTCTGCTACTCAGGAGGTTAAGGCAGGAGGATCTCAAGTTCAGGGCCAGCTTGGATAACTTAGTAAGACCTTGTCTCCAAATAAAATTCACAAAAATAAAAGAAAGTTTGAGGAGGTAGCTCAGTAGTATTGTACCCCTGGGTTTAACCCCCAGTTCTGGGGAAAAAAAATTTTAATGAAAAAATACAGAAGAAATCTATTATGTGTATTTTAACCTCCTATTTATTATCTTTTGAAAGTTAACTTTAAACTTAAACTCAGTTAAGTCTTGAGGACATGCCAAGAAGCATAGGATGTGATACCTTTAAGTCAATTATGATATAGATTTTTCATGTGAATATAGAAGGTGTGATTCATCAAAATATTGTTCCAAAATATTTAATTTTAGAACCAAAGCTGCTTTTATAGGGCTTGGTGTATGTTTAGACTTGAACTATAAAATATGGAAAACATTTAAAGAACAATAAGAGTTAGAACAAATGGATAATTCACTTTGGAAACAAAGAAGTAGACATTCTTAAAAGGAAACACTTCTATTTAAATCAGTTAATTAGTTTTCCCCAATTATAGCTCTCTACAAAGTTTCTTTTTGAACTTTATTCATCAGCCCACCCTACCAAGGTCTATGCTAGAAATTTCATATTTTTAGTGGCTTTCAGAGGCTCTCTTCTTCTCTGATTGATAACTAAGAATGTTTTGCACATAGAAGAACAGAACATATCAGCACATTTATCGATTGACTATTTTTATTATTTTTTTTTTTCCTACAGAAAAATCTGTGACCCGGGTCTTACTGCCTTTGAACCTGAAGCTTTGGGTAACTTAGTGGAAGGGATGGATTTTCACCGATTCTACTTTGAAAATGGTACATTTACTCCAAATTCAACAACGTGCTTTTTCCAACTTCTCTGCGAATTTCTCCCAAATTTGCAAACTCTTTGTCTCTTTTCTGCAATAAGAAACGCTTTGTTCAGCATCATTTTACAAGCATTTTGTGTTCGAAACTGAAAATAATGTTTATATATACATTCACACTGTATATATACACATAAGGAGAGACAGACAGAGAGACAGACAAACTTAAAAGGTTTATGGTGTTTTGAAAAACATCTGCCTTTGGATAAAAGGCTTTGTGGGCGGGGGAGGGGGGTGGTCGTGGTGGTGGTGGCAGTGGGGATACAACCAAGGGCAAGCCCTCTACCACTGAGCTACATCCCCAGCCCTGGATAAAAGATAATTTTGATGGAATGCACCCATTAAGTCCAAGGGAATGTATAATATAAACTGCATAATGTTATTAAGAAAAGTATTATTTCAAGGTTTTTAAAACTGTTTGTGTAAGAAAAATTTTAAAAACCACAGCACACAGAATGTTCTACAGAGAAGAATTCTGTGAAGCATATTTGGTGCTTATTTTCAAAATTTTAGTGGTCTCAGATAAAACAGACACATTTCAGAGAAAATGACAGAAGTTTCTCCTATAGAAATACCTCAGGCCATCAAAAAATGAGTAAACCAGGAATTCCCTTTTTCTTCTTTCCCTTACTCCTAATGTTATTAGAAGTTATATTTTCATGATGCCTGCAGTGAACTCATTGTTTTTGCAGTGAGATCTTGTTGATTTAAAAAGAAATTATAGTAATGATTAGGATAATTAAGCTCACTTTCAGTAATTATAAACATTGATAAAAATGCTGGCCTTGACGTGGATTTTTAACATGTATTATGAATTGCTTTTACTTATATGCACCATGTATTTGCACACTAGGTGACAAATTCACCTGATCAAAGCTTTAGTAAATGTTCTCATATTCTCTAAGTTCTAGTGCTCTGATTGACAGCATATCATATTTCCTCTATCTGACTCTTAATCAACATCATCTCATCAGCAGTAAAAAGAATCCATTAACCTATTAATATTTTAACTTATTTCAGCGTGACACTGCCTTTTTTATGTGACAGTAGTATTTTGAGTAATATACATAGTATTTTCTGAGAATGAGAAGCAGGTTTCAGTTCAAACTGTTCTAGTGATCAAAGAGAAATACCATCAATAAGTAATGTGTACTAAGTCCTCATGTCTCCTGGTAACTGAGTAAGTAGAATAGGTAGTTACTATTAAAACACTAGAGATGGGAGCCTCATGAGCACTACTTAGTCAAAAGAAAGATGGTTAGAACCTATTTGGCCAACACCAAATTGTGGATTTTCACTTAATAATCACAGATAGGTTATCATGGACTGGACTGCACTACATGGAGGAGTCACAGGATGTGATACAGAAACAAATTCATGCTGTGACCAGCCTTTCTTGGAGACAGTGGTCTCTGGGCTTGATATTTGCTGTTTTCTTGTCTGTGTTTGTTACCAAAAACACACTCCACTACAAGCTATCCTGTGAACTACCCCAGCAGGTCATTCATTGAGATGACAGCTGCTGCTCAGAGCACCTGCGCCTGGCCTTCTCCACTTCTATTCCTATTATGTCTTCTGTTTCTAATCATTTCCCATTACAAATAAATACACTATAGCTTTTTCTCCCAATCAATCAAAATTTCTAAAATAGCATGTAAATGGTCTATAAAGGGTATCAAAGAAAAAACTGTTTTCCCTTTTGTTCTTTTCTCTTATCCTTTATACTTTAGACAGCACCCATCATCAGATTAGTGCAAATAGCCAGATTAATTAATTAATTAACTAAGGAGTTAATAAGTAGCATTTCATCTATTAGTATCAACTGGAGTTATTACTGGTTTTGGTTCACTTTACATAGACACTAATTGCTTTCTTATCATGTTGTTCTTTTTCAGCTTTGTCCAAAAGCAATAAACCAATCCACACTATTATCCTAAATCCTCATGTCCATCTGGTCGGGGACGATGCTGCCTGCATAGCATACATTAGGCTCACACAGTATATGGATGGCAGTGGAATGCCAAAGACAATGCAGTCAGAAGAGACCCGCGTGTGGCACCGCAGGGATGGAAAGTGGCAGAATGTTCATTTTCATCGCTCGGGGTCACCAACAGTACCCATCAAGTAAATATTTCCAGGCTGTCAGCTTCTTTGTTACTATACCTATGGTCAGCTCCTTCTACTTATTCCACTGTTAATAGCATGGCATATGTTATTTAATGCTAGTGGTTGATCACATTGGTGGAAATAAAGGCCTTCCTTGGGAGAGTCTACAATTCTCTGGGACAGTCAATCAGATGAGCCAATAAAACTTGCCATAAAGCAGTACACCATAGTTTTTGACAGGAATTAGAAACTATACTGTCACTATCTACTGATTTATTATATGGTTAAATCAGAAGGATTCATGTAATAAGGCAAAATATTTGTGACTTCATTTTCACAATTGGCCGAGGAAGGTGATGTAGAAGGAAAGCATAGAGCAGGGTTTGTAAAATGGCCCATGAACTATAAGAAGCTTCACTTCCTAGATTACCCCCTAGGGCTCATTGACTGACATTAGAAAACTTATAAATCAATTTTACCAAGCAAATATCAAGTATTGCAGTGCTTTCTCACCTCACTGCTCTACCTCAAATGTTGTATTTGACTACCAGTCAATAATCAGACAAATATTTATTGCACATCTCTGAGGTGTTTCACCTGTGCCAGGTACAATGTGAGATAAAGGCCTTTGCCCCTCAAGGAACATACATTCTAGTTCAGAAAGTAACTAACTGAAATAAATAAAAATAAATAAAAATTATTTATTTTTATAAATAAATAAAATTCTGCAATCAAGTTTATAATCAACTGAAGAGTAAAGTAGAATGAGGAACCCAAAGAGCACACTGCTGTTAACACTTCGCATATAAAATAGAATCTTAGACAAGGGTTAAATGACAAGTGTTACTGGAAACATAGAAACATAAAAAGATCAAAGGGAAGATAGTCCTAACTAAGGGAGCATCATGAAGAAAAGTAATGTCAGGATTTGGGCTAATATGGTAGCCAGTTATGGGTGAGGAAGATTGGCTTCAACTGGATTAAAGGACATATGGAGGAAAAGAGGTTTACATGGGCCAAGTAGGACAAGATGATCAGTAAGGGAGCTTAGATGGAAGAGATATTTATTTAGTCCACTGCTGATCTCTTTAAATTCTCTCCCCACATCACCTGTTGGTAGTTGAGGGTGTGGAATGGGAAGTCAAGTCCATACAAACAGCCACTCAACTCACTCCAGAGAATCCATCATGATATCTTAGTTTGCTATATACCACAGTGGTTTTCAGCGGCCTTCTGTATAGCCTCAATAATTATATCACTGTTGGATTTTGCAAAAAAAAAAAAAAGGGGGGGGGGGGTATGGTCAATAAAGACAAAAAAAAAATACCTTAAAAGCAATAGGTTGAAATTCCAAAAACGATAGTTATATCATCAAGATAAAGGCACTAAAGGAATATGAAGATAATGAAAACAACTATTTTTGTGTTTGTGTGGTTTTTTTACCCCAAAGAGGTACAACAAAAATTGCCAGTTAACATAGAAGGGATTCCATTTGTGTGGTAGCAGGGGCTGGGTTTTTCTGCAATTCCCTGAAGTGTTGATGGGATAGAGCCTATTTAAGAAAACTTCCTTTTATGCCAGGTGGCTTAAATGGGGCTTCTCTTAATAGGCCACCATGTATTCCAAATGGGAAAGAAAACTTCTCAGGAGGCACCTCTTTGTGGCAAAACATCTAAGGCCTGAAAACCATTCACATATGGGTCTTGTAAGTAGCATCCTGCTCCGGGATACTTTGCAATTGGAGCTAATCTCAGAAAGGCTGCATGGCTGATTTTCTTTCCTGGAGGATATTTGTTCTGCATTATATTCCATGAAACACATACAAGGTCTTTAAAAACCCATAGCAGTGTTGCATGAACTCCTATGTCTAACATCCACTTTAGAATATAACCCTTAATTTTAAAGGTAATACATGCTGAGAAGGACCTTTTTCCTGTAGTTGTTGGATTGTGTTATTTTAGAATCCTGGAGTTCTCAGACCAACAGTCAGTTATGTTGGAGTCAATTCAGACAACTCTCAATTATCCAGACTAATTTTTATTCACCTTTAGAATCCTTTGGTGATTTACTATTTTCTAGAAGTTGCAATTGCTGTAAGCAGTTGGCTGAGGTTAATATGTAAATTAGTTTGCTGTGCCTGACTGAGCATGATGGTACTTGATCCTCCTGAGAACAGGCCACAAGTGGAAATCAAGCTGAAATTTAAAAGGTACAAAGTAAGGTATTCCACAGGATAACTGAAAGTTAAATTCATGCCTATGTTGTTGTTTTTAAAAATGTGTTTCTGACACTTGGATTAGGATCCAGATAAGTGTGGTGCTGTTGTTAATATTTTCCCCACTCGAAAACTGGACCTTATAAGAACTTCTAAGAAATAGTGCTCTCAGTGGTTGCTTTAAAGAATGAAATAAAAATAATCATTTTTTTTCCATTCTAGTGGCTATATTCCTTGTTAAATTCATTTCAAAGTTTAATTTCTCAAGGAGTCTTAGAATAATGAAAAACCTAAAGATGAACTTGAACTTCTGATCTCTTCCAACCAAACAATAATATTAATTTATTAAATTTGTCTAGTAAATATGAATACTCAAAATACATATTTATATTTAATAATTTGATGTCTATGACCCTGTCTCTATTTCTAGCTTAGCTTTGTGTGAAAAAAAAAAACAGATAATACTGAGTCATTTTGTATTCTTCCTTACTTTTTTTAATATTGTGTATTTTAATCTTATAACGATTTTAAGCAAATATCTCTTATATGCAGTGTTTTTAATCTGATCTTTAACTGAATTATAAAATTGTGGCCTAGGCACATCTGTGGCAAAGCAATTTGATGAAGCAACGTAACTTATGTCTTCTTCCGTTTTTCTCCTTTCAGCTAATTATCAACGTGCCACTTCTGCATTCTTTGTTCTCAAAGCACCGGATGGTAACCCTGGGCCGTCCTCTCCTCCTCTTCATGCATGTTTCTGAGTGCATGAAGTTGTGAAGGTCCTACATGTCATGCATACGTGATGCATCATCTATCATATATTCCTTCCTGTACATTGTTTACACTTCAACGATGGGGATGTTCCATGCAAACTGAAATTACTGTTGACAACCAATAGGGGGAGGTCAGACAAAAAAAAAAAATCCCAGGATATTCCAAGTACAACTATTCATCTAGTTTCTCTGTTTATGCCAAGATTTAATGTAACAGACTTAAAAAATTATTGTTCTCTGAATGACAGTTTGTAAGAGAAATGTAAATTTTTTAGAACTCTGTTTTGGCTTGTTTGTTTTTTAAAAAAGGCAAAAATATATATATCTATATCTATAAATATATATATACTTTCAGTTTCTGGGTGTGATCCTGGTTGAAATGGGTGATTTTTCACTGAAAGCTTTGCTGTTGAACAATTAAAGTGGGTTGATATGTGGGCAAAAAAAAAAAAAAAGAAGATCACATATGCATGTAGAAGCAAGAATCAGTTGGTTAACTGCCATCTAAAGCCATGATGTATTTAGTCAAAGTGTAAACTGGAAAAATTCACATCACGTATGAGTTTGATCATTTTAGAACCTACACTGTTCTAGTGGATTTGCTGAATTGATTTTTGTTTTCCTTTCTCAAATCTGTCCTCTGTTCTCTTCATTTTATCCCATTTCTTTGTTACTTTTGTATGCTTCCTTTTTTATTATTCTTTTGTTCTCATTCTTTTTCCTTCTTTTCTCTTGTGGATAGCAGTGTGTCAGAATAAAAGTGAAATTTGCAGAACGATGGTAAAATAAAAACTGAGGTATTTTGGAGGGAGCTGAACCAGCACTTTTGGTCATCTTCTGGGCCCACAGAACTTAAAAATAATTGAATAAAAATAAAGTTTAAATAAAGCTTAAGCTCTATTTGGACTTAAATATCCCAACTATGTGGGATGTATTGGAATTGTTGAAACTTAGACACCAAGTAAGTCTCTGTAAACTACAGTGTACCCTACTAATTGGGATGGATGCCAGGAAAATAGCAAGCTGAGAGTGGATTAGGTTTTTGTGCAAAAGCACTCGTTTCCACCTTGTGAAAGTGTAGGGCCCCTCCTGCCTCACCATTAGCTAGCGTTCTAAAGTTAGAGAGCTTAGGGATGTTTCCACTCTCATAAGCATTTTGAACTTGATCTTTGCAACTTGTGCTTTTTTAGCTTTTCTCTTGAGTCAGAATATCATTCTCCCCCTCCAAGGAGTTAGGATTTTCCAGTTTAAAATAAAAAGCAAAGGGAAATGTCCCGGTTTTCTTTGTGCTTCTCACTTCTCCTTTGTTGATTCAATTCCTGTGAGGTTTTTTCTCGTCCCTGAAATACTTTCTAGTGCATGGAATCTCCATCAGCGTTATTTTAACCATAGTTACAGTCCTCAGAAGCCTATTTTTTAAAGCAGAAGGAAAACAACAAAAAAACAACCCTCCCTCTTTTCTCTCATTTCACCTTTCTGTGTTGATTACTAATAACCTTAGATATTGTTGCTAGTGGACGTATGGTAGATGGGTTGAAGCTTTTCTGATAATTATTACACAATTTAAAACAACATATATTTAAAATAAATATATACATTAAATGTATTGAGCCATGTTAACCTGCCAATGAGATCTGTGAAAAAATAATGGCCTCATTTTTCCCTTTTTAATTTCTTTGACCTTTTTTGTGAAGCGGCTATACGTGGCATACATGTATTTAAAAAAAAAAAGTAGGTGTAGATTGGTTTTTTTTACACTTTTAACTTAGCATGTGGTGTTGAAGTATTACCGTAGATCAAGTTTGTCTTCCGCACTAAGATGTGAGGAAATTGTGATTTGTTCTCTCCACCACAATTGAATTACACATTTATTATCTTCTATCATTTTGAAACACTGCAGTTTACCATGGGACACTGTATATATTTCTTGCCATAATGGTAAATGACTGATTGATATATTTAAGAGTTAATAAATTTGTGATTTCTGCTGACAATGTGTCCATCTTTCTTTCTTGAAGGATTGTCTTTATGCATGCGTGGTGTTGGCCAGTGTCAAAGGCGACGTGTCCTACTATGGTATTCGTTTAGTACATCACACCTTGCACTCGGTGATAATGGCAAGTTAATTTTCTCTGTGCACAAAACAATGATCTTTCCAGGGAAATTTTGCTGAGAAAATAGTGAACAGCTAAGGATCCTAAAAGCTTCTAGACCTGTGCCCTCTGATTCATCCTTTCATCCAGGTGCTAAGAGGTTCCTTTGCTCCCTCAAATCTGGCTAAAGACCACTGGTATCATCTCCAGTACATAGGCAAGCACCCCAGCCCCTGCTGCTTAGCGCTTTGAACATGAGTAGACAGAAGAACTCAACTTATTTCTAATTGCTAAAGACACCACATACCACACACACATTTCTCTCACATCTATTTGTGTTTCTTACCTAGAATATTGTCCCCTGAGTGATAAACATGATTCTTCCTCATTCCTTAGAGATCTGTTGGGAGTGTCATCTCCTTCAGCAGATCTCCAGTAGCGCTGTGGGCTTGCTTTCTCTCTTACATAGCAGCTTGTGTTTACCACTCCTGCTAACCACATTGTTTCTAAAATATACTTTGATTTGTGTCTCTTGTGCTGGAGTATAATGTCTACATGGACAAGATCTGTGTGTCACATCCCAGGGCAAGGAAGGGATGTCATTAATAGTCACTGAACTAAGGCCACACCCCAATGGAACCCCAGAACCACAATGGAACTCTTATCAGATAGGCCTAGATTTAATGTTGGACTCTGTCATGACTGTCTTGATACCCTGAGCAATTGTTTCCCTCTGAAGAAACTTTTATTTCCATATTCATAAAATGAATATACTACTAATTTGATAAACATACTAACTTAATAAGGATATTCTGAGCATTAGAAAGAATGGGTACAGGGTACCTAGAATGCAATGTGGTAGGAATTAAATGGTAGCAGTTTATAACTGTTCTGATTACTAATATGACTATTCCTACTGTTATTGTTCTCCCCTACTCAGGGGGATACACGTCTCTTGCTTTGCTATGGCTGCTCTTTTATATAGGTGTACAGCTATTGGTAATCAAATGTCTCTCAAAAGTCATATTCAAATGTCTCTGCAGGAAGATGAGAGAGAACAAGGTAATCATCCAGCTGAAAGCAAAAAGATGAAATGGAGAAAAACAATATATTCTAGGAAAGCATTTGAGGAATTTTAAGTTACTGAAATTTGGTATATGTAAATAAAAGAATTATATATAATGTAAGGGAAGAACTTAGAAGATACAAATTTTGAATGATTTCATTAAATAAAATTCTACTACTTCAATGAACAGTTCATGTTTTTGTGGTCTCCTTTGTCATATGGTAAAAAGTGAGAGTATTTAGAAAGATTGTCATAAGGATCAGTGTAGCTGGCCATGTGTCCATGACCTGAACAGTAAGCCATCCTAAGCCACCATGGCCTAGAACAATAGCACCAAGTATTTACAGCATTCCTGGTTTTTAGTCAGACAAGACCAGTGCTCCAAAGTGAGCAGGAATATTTATTCTCTACAGACTGAGAAGGAGAAATTGGTAAGAGATTAGCATAATTTTACACCAGGAACAGTGGCATTTTAAGGGCTTCTGCTACTTTAGAACAAAAATAAAAAATTTTTGATTTGTCAGTAAAAAAGTTTTTTTATATTAAAAAAAAATGAGTTGCCATTGGGTGCAGCAGCGCACACCTGTAATCCCAGCTATTCAGGAGGCTGAGATAGGAGGAGGATTGCATGTTTGAGGCCAATCTAAGTAATTTAGCAAGACCCTGTCTCAAAATAAAAAATGAAAAGGGCTGAAGATATGGATCATTGGTAAAGCACCTCTGGGTTTAATGCCCAGGACCACAAAAATAAATATATCATATATAAATACATAAATAATTAAGTACAAGTTGTCAACATTTTTTAAATTGGATTTTTTCTTTTTTTTATTGTTGGTTGTTCAAAACATTACATAGTTCTTGATATATCATATTTCACACTTTGATTCAAGTGGGTTATGAACTCCCATTTTTATCCCATATACAGATTGCAGAATCACATCAGTTACACATCCATTGATTTACATATTGCCATACTAGTGTCTGTTGTATTCTGCTGCCTTTCCTATCCTCTACTATCCCCCCTCCCCTCCCCTCTTCTCTCTCTACCCCCTCTACTGTCATTCATTTCTCCCCCTTGTATTATTTTTCCCTTTCCCCTCACTTCCTCTTGTATGTAATTTTGTATAACCCTGAGGGTCTCCTTCCATTTCCATGCAATTTCCCTTCTCTCTCCCTTTCCCTCCCACCTCTCATCCCTGTTTAATATTAATCTTCTTCTCATGCTCTTCGTCCCTACTCTGTTCTTAGTTACTCTCCTTATATCAAAGAAGACATTTGGCATTTGTTTTTAGGGATTGGCTAGCTTCACTTAGCATAATCTGCTCTAATGCCATCCATTTCCCTGCAAATTCTATGATTTTGTCATTTTTTAATGCAGAGTAATACTCCATTGTGTATAAATGACACATTTTTTTTTTATCCATTCGTCTGTTGAAGGGCATCTAGGTTGGTTCCATAGTCTTGCTATTGTGAATTGTGCTGCTATGAACATCTATGTAGCAGTGTCCCTGTAGCATGCTCTTTTTAGGTCTTTAGGGAATAGACCGAGAAGGGGAATAGCTGGATCAAATGGTGGCACCATTCCCAGCTTTCCAAGAAATCTCCATACTGCTTTCCAAATTGGCTGCACCAATTTGCAGTCCCACCAGCAATGTACAAGTGTACCCTTTTCCCCACATCCTCGCCAGCACTTGTTGTTGTTTGACTTCATAATGGCTGCCAATCTTACTGGAGTGAGATGGTATCTTAGGGTGGTTTTGATTTGCATTTCTCTGACTGCTAGAGATGGTGAGCATTTTTTCATATACTTGTTGATTGATTGTATGTCCTCTTCTGATAAGTGTCTGTTCAGGTCCTTGGCCCATTTGTTGATTGGGTTATTTGTTATCTTATTGTTTAATTTTTTGAGTTCTTTGTATACTCTGGATATTAGGGCTCTATCTGAAGTGTGAGGAGTAAAGATTTGTTCCCAGGGTGTAGGCTCCCTATTTATCTCTCTTATTGTTTCTTTTGCTGAGAAAAAACTTTTTAGTTTGAGTAAGTCCCATTTGTTGATTCTAGTTAACTCTTGTGCTATGGGTGTCCTATTGAGGAATTTGGAGCCCGACCCCACAGTATGTAGA